TTGCGCACAGGTAAAAGTACGGGAAATTTTCAAGTTCTTAATAAAATGCAGATATACATATGCATACAAAATTAAATCTAATTGATATACATTACATCAGATTGTTAAGTTTTGGTTTTAACGTACAAATAAAATGTTTTTCTTTCTGACGTCTACTTATATCATTTCCTCCTGCTACTTTATAAAACGGAAATATCGTAAATTTCTTTTGTCCACACACGTCTAAATGTTCACTTAATGGTATTTGTCTATACTCCGGAGTGTTAATCTGTTGCTTGTGGGTACGAACCCGGGTACGGAGGGTGTTACTGGTCTCACCTATATAATACTCACTACATCCCGGACAGGTTATCACATATAAAACATTTTGTGTATCACACGACATATTGGCGTTCACTGTAAATTGTCTGCCGTTGAAGTTATAATAAGATCCTTCAGTAAGAAAATCACAGGTTCCGCACCGAGGATTTTCACATTTTTTCACTGAATAGGTTCCTTCAAAATTAGAGTTACACAGGAGTCTTTTCAGGTTCTTGGGTTGGCGTCTACTTGAGATAAATTTTACGTCCTTATAATCCTTATAAATTGTCTTTGTAGTTTCGTCCTCTCTAAGAATTGTGTTCAGTTGGTGAACAATGGGGTTGATGTTCTGGTTCCGGGGATTATGCGTGTGCACGAAGGGAATGATATTCTCGTTAACTTCACGTCCTTTGGCTAAAAGTAATTCTGATCTTTCATGTTCCTTTGCTTTAAGTATTCCATCATCTATAAGCTGGACTGGATATTTCTGTTTAAAAAGATACGTTTTAAGTTCATGTAAACGAATGTCCCTTGTATCCTTTTCACTGACAATGGCGCATATACGTCTGGCAAGGTTATAAGGAATGGCTGTTTTGGTATGATGCGGATGGCAGGAACCAAAATGTAAGTATTGGTGTGTATCCGTCACTTTGTAAAATATGACAGTAACAATCCTTGTGTCCTTCTTAACAACGAGAACATCTAGGAATGGTAGTTCATTTTCACTGGTATCTATTGTAAATTTGATGTTGGCATTCAACTCATTTAATATTTTATGAAAAACGTCTAATTTTTCGACACTCTCATCCCATAAAATAAAACAGTCATCTAGAAATCTTTTCCATTTAGATTTAAGGTTATTGGCTATATCTTCTCCCCACAATGTTATGAGTCGTTGGTGAAGTTTGAATTCTAAGTAACCTAGGGTAAGTGTTGCGTACGTCGGTGCAACTTTGGTTCCCATGGCAGTTCCTTTAGTTTGTAAAAAATGGTTATCATTAAAGGCAAACGTATTATTTTGAAGGACTAATTTTAATCCTTGAACGACAAATTCTTGTGGAAAGCGATCATGAAGAAGGTAAGGATGTTTTTCTATCCAGAATTTTATCGCTTCTATTCCGAGTTCCGTTGGAATGTTAGTATACAAACTAACAACATCAAACGTAACTAATTTAGTATTATCCTTAACGACGTCTGGTAAATGATTCAGGAAGTCAAGATCATCTCTAATGAAACTTGGTACCTTTTCACAGAATGGTTTCAGCAATATATCTAATAAATGGCTCAATCTTTGGGTAGACGAGTTAGGGCCTCCAACAATAGGTCGGAAAGATAAATCCTGTGGGTTAAGGCAGGTAATATATTCAGAATTCTGAGATTCTATGGCATTCTTAATTTCCGTCGATTTATGAACTTTAGGTAAGCCGTAAAACTGACTTTCGCGGGCTTCAAAATTTATAAGATAGTCTCTTTCCTTGTCTGTTAATTCCTCAGAAAAAGGTTCATGGACAAGACTTTTTATTTTTGACATCGATTTCTTTTCATGCGTTTTGTTAATCTTTTGGTGAAATTCGGTGTCTTGTAACATGGTCAGAATTTTATTTTCGTAAAAGTCTTTGTCCATGATGACAACTCCTCCTCCTTTGTCTGCCTCTTTAATGACTATATTTTTGTCGCTACACAAGTCTTTTAGGGCAATTTGTTCATCCTTAGAAAGATTTGATTAATAATTAGGTATGTTGGTGTCTGGAAGGTTGATGTTTTCAAGCGTCTCGCAAACAGTATCTAAAGTACGATTTCTTCCTCGTTTTGGAATAAAATCTGACTTGTTTCTTACAAGATCCTCGGGCTGTGTATGTTCAGTTTCTTCATTAAAATCATTCTCGTCCTCATCCTCGTGGAAAAACTCCCTTAGTCTTAAACGGCGTGTATATGATTTAATATCTGTTTTTAGTTCCTGGTGGTTCCTTCTAGGTGTAGGAGTATACTTCAAACCTTTAGAAAGTAATTTTATTTCCGAATCTGTAAGGGTCCTGGATGATAAATTAAATACTTTAGGATCCGTTGACGTGTTTGGGGAAGAGCTATCCGTACCTATATTAATGGAGTTGTTTTTTCCTATTGGGCACGAGGTTTGTATTTCTCGCCTTGATTGGGGTTGCCTCCGCCTACAAAATGGTTTCTTGCACCCCTTCCAATGTACAGTGCTGCTATCCTATAAGTTGACAATTCTATCCTATCCTATCGTGAATCCTGCATCCACAATCCTATCCTATGATTTCAGTCTAATCCTATCCTATCCTATCCTGCAACTCTCAATTTTTTAATATTTAGGAATTAATTTGACAAAACGAAAAAAAGGGAATCACCAGGAAAAAAAATCAGACATAGTTATGGTATTCATTTAAATGTTATAAATTTTAATGGAAAAAAATAATCGAGATCGGCATTCCATAATTCCCGACTCGCCGCACAAATTAAATTTACGATTATCATTGCCATTTTAAAAATAAATGTTAACAAACAGGTCGTAATTACACGTGGACAAGTACTGATTTTGCGAACATATGTAAAGAAATTGGGCTACCAGAAGAATAAAAGAAAGATTATACTTAGTGTTTTAATTTTCCTACTAACAATGATCAGGAGCCCCGGGATCGCGACTTGATTCCGACGCATTATAATTAATTATTTTTAAAAATCATAGGCCTATACGATAAAAATGTTTAAGTAAATGTTTCATGTAAAATTTTATTTTTTTCTAAACTGAGCACCATGAAAATAACATGCATGTACATTGCATCTATAGTCTAACTGTGCCTGCATAACAGGTTTTTCTGCATGCAATTCTCAAAAAGAAGATCTGACTAGACCATAAACCAAACAGACAAAGTCAAAATGTAGATCTAGAATATTTTGACTTTCACATATTAAACATTTTAAATGTGAAATTGTCTTATAATATCAAATATTAAATGTATGATTTTTTTATTTTAATTCATAATTTATTCTTTTATAAAATTTCAGTTCATCATCTGTCGTATGTGATATTTTTCAAACATGCAAAATATATTGTTGCTAAATAAAATTCAAGATGATCGAAATGTTTTTTTTTTTCATTTTCTTCTTCAGTTTCTTCTCAGTTTATGGTCAGCTCAGTGCCGTACAAATGTATTTCAATTTCCTATTTTGTTTTATGTGTGAAAATTTAATAATTTATGTCTAATAGAATATATTTTCTAAATTTGATATTGGTTGACAGATTGACAGTATATAAACATGATAAATATTGCATGTAGTTGAGTGTAACATTGAAAATTTAGACAATGGTAGACAATGGTTTTCGAGGGGTGAAAATCTTTAATGTTACACTCAACTACACTGTACATGCAATATTTATTATATTATACTGAATGTTTTATACAAATACATATTACAGTGAACCATGCATGCATAAATTCCGCGCAGTCACTATTTTTGTAATACCACCCGTTGTCAAGCAATGTTGACTGTTGCTACGCAGTAGGGCATGGCTTCATTATTCAGCGGGTAGTAGTGTTTTTTATCAAATGTTTCTCGACGAATCAGATTCAAGTAATTTACATGAAAGTAAAATATTAATAAATATTGTAGTGAGGTCACACATGTTCCTAAGATCTTATAAAACATGCAAGAGAAATTCAGAATTCACAGTATTTACAGTATTTATAACTCATTCTTGAGTAAAGCAAGTTTGTATTTGACCTTGGCATTGGATCTTGAATCGTAATCAGTGTCTGATTGAAAAATATTAAAATGCTCCACACATGTTCCTTAGATCTTATACACATGCATAAGAATTCACAGTATGTATAACACATTCTTGAGTAAACCTTTTATTTGTCCTTGACATTTGATCTTAAAATTATCAGTGTTCAAATGAGAAAAAAAACTTTATCAAGTACACAATATTTTTATTCAAGGTGATTCCTCAACAATGTTTAACAATTTAATATTCCATTACCATGATACAAAGTCATTAAAAGTATCCATGATCAGCATTTATGAATTTTAATTCAAAAATCACAGATACATGTACATGAACTTTGTTTAAATTTAAGTTTATTGTGCCGTTACACGGCTTATATGTATATATGTTCGTAGACTGTTTTGTGTTATTCCGTTTTTGTCCGTGTGAAATGTTTTAGTTTACCGTTTATATCCGGATACTACCTGTGTTACTATTCAGTGTTTCTCGTGCATTCAAGATCGCAACTGGCGCCTCTGCCGCACCACTGTTTTTCTATCATGTTTGAGACTTTAGAGCCACAATAGAGTAAGTTAATAATACTAAATCAATTTAATGTACATTCTATTTATATAAATTCAGTTAGGAAATATTTCTTTGTGTAAATTTAACTTTAAACTTGCAAAATTCAGTGTCAATGTCAGTGATGTGTATTCAGTCTTGTTTTCTTCTTTTTGTTTGTAGCCTTTATCGTAAGATCATCTATGTATCAACTGAATAAAATCTTAAACGATGATTGAGGCGTTATATTTATCAATGTTTTTATTACCGTAGCATGTTTTACATGCATTTAATTTGACTTTCTTATTCGACGCTCAAATTGAAATTCAAATGTCAGAGTTATTGTCAGAGAGATGGTCATAAACTGAACACTTCCACAAATGTCAACAATGCACAGAAAACATACACTGATCTCCTTAATAAAAGCACTAAGATTGTTAGGAATCTTTGACACTGGTTTGAATATCTTTCATCATTTACTCTAACAGCATATGGCATGAACTGCATTCTGCACAGCTGCAAATCTGCAGGGTTTCCTGAAAAAAAAAAATCACAAAATTATTTGTACATTTGTTTTAGTGACTTTTCTCTATTTTCTCCTTGTATTTATCTATTTAATGTTTTTTCTTGGTTTTCTTTTTTTTTTGGTCTTGAAATTTGAACATGTAAAAGAAGAAGAAAATATCTATGTAACAGCAACATGATGACCAGAAAAATTCAACATTTCTTTCAATTTTGTTCTCAAGATTTTTGAAAGAAGAAAATCACTTGTTCCGAGAAACTGCAGACATGTCACCTCAAAGCAGATAATGATGTTTATATAGTTGAATGACCATAAAAAAATACATGATAAAAATAAAATCATACATACTTTTTAGATTAAAATCCTTTATACTGTGATGACGCATGATGACGCATGAGTGCAGGCAAATCCATCACTGTAATGATGAATATTAAAAGATTAACTTATGTTTCATAACTCAAAATACATCATACATACATGTACAATATGTAAGTGCACTGCTGAGTGAGCTTATTAAACATTTCAGCAGTAGCATTAGAAATGGTCATGATGATTCTACATTAATTTATTATAAGTTACACTGAAATGAAAGAATTAAGGAACTAATAAGATTCCGAGAAACTGCAGATATGTCACCTCAAAGCAGATAATGATGTTTATATAGTTGAATGACCATAAAAAAATACATGATAAAAATAAAATCATACATACTTTTTAGATTAAAATCCTTTATACTGTGATGACGCATGATGACGCATGAGTGCAGGCAAATCCATCACTGTAATGATGAATATTAAAAGATTAACTTATGTTTCATAACTCAAAATACATCATACATACATGTACAATATGTAAGTGCACTGCTGAGTGAGCTTATTAAATATTTCAGCAGTAGCATTAGAAATGGTCATGATGATTCTACATTAATTTATTATAAGTTACACTGAAATGAAAGAATTAAGGAAATAATAAGATTAATAAACTGATTAAGACATAATACATATGATCGTTTTAGTCTTAGAGCTCATTGATAGCTAATTGAATCATATGACAGAGTAACGGGGGTCTTTGTAAATATTTTATCCCCCCTTCTGTCTACACTACTTCTTTTTTCCGCACCTAATTTTTATTTATATTAAATAGAATAAAATGTTTATATTTTAAGACACGAGAGCATTGTTTTGAGGGATAAATAAGTATAAAAATGCAAATATGTACAGTGTACAGTGTGTAGTATACTTACATGAACTCGCACATCATCTATTCAAGTCCGCTGTTGACGGTTCCTAAGGAATTATCCAAACAAACAGAGCATATTTAACAGAAAACATGTTAGACCACTTTTACACAAGTAAGAATCGGTTAAATCATCCAAACAAGCTGAAGAAATACGGTCTTTCGATGTCTGGACTCTTCGTTGTTTACATTCCCAAATCTTCCGGTGATCGTTCACGGTTAGATCGTACGCCGTGTTACTCGAAGTTTATAATGTAAAATCTGTGTTTTGAGAAAAAAATGTTTTATTTTCTATTGACATTTCATAAATATTTCTTTTGTAAACATTTTATATCGTATTTCGTTTTTGTAATTTATTCTGAAATATGAATGAACCTTTGCTCGAATCTGATTGGCTGTAGGATACAGGATAGGATAGGATAGGATAGGATTGGATTAACTTCTATATGTTTCTATCGTGAATCCTCAATCCTGAATCCTATCCGATCCCATCCCATGTCAACTTGTGGGATAGCAGCACTGTATGTAGTGTCCTCATCCCTGTAGATATTTTGTTGTCTAAATCTCATATTTTGTTGCTTTTTGTTGTTAAAAGCTGGATGATTGTGTCGCTCCATAGCGGTGCTAGAATGGTTTGTCTGGTTATTTTGACTCCTACGGCCCGTATTGAAACTTTTGGTTTTCTGGTTGTTCCTCAATCCTGTCCAGTCATTTGGTCGCGGATTTTTATGTGTATCGGACACATTATTCACATGTGATGATGTTTTTTGATAATGGGTCCTAGTCGGTCTGTATCCTCCATCCTCATGGGAAAGTGCTTCATTCCTCACAGCAGATGCATAGTTTAAACGCGAAGATTGGGATTTCTTAGACTGCATTTTTTGTGCTGGTTTTTTGCCCGGCTTCTTGGTTTTAACAACTTCCTTACCATATGTTCGTTCATAATCAAGTAACCAAGCCTCTGAATAGCGCCATCTTTTGTAAGATTTATCTTCTTCCTTTCGACATTCTGACTTCCACATTTCTTGAAGTAAATCTAGAATAATCCCGTTGGCTTTTTTCTTTAGTGTTTCTTCCATTTCTTGATCTAATTCTATAACTTTCTTTTGATTGTTTTCCGCTCTCATACGAAGTAATGCAATCTCACCTGTGACACGATTTTTAGCAACTTCAACCCGTACAGCTAATTGGTCCTCTGGCTCTCCTCGAATTTCCTTTACTCTGAATTTCCTTGGAATTATAGGATTTTCCCGGTTAATCCATTTTTCAAAATAATCTGCATGATTTGCATTGCTGATTTGTTTCCAATATGTTTGTTTCCTGGTGTTCAAAATTTGGCTCCATATCGTTTAATATTGTGCTTGACTCTCACAGCCTCCCTTTCCAAAGCAAGTTCGTTTATCTGGTTTTGTAGTAATTGTGTGGGGGATTGATAGGCCCTTACTCCAATGTCAGAATTATGAACACATTTCAAACTCGTCTCCTCAGTATCACTGCGAGAATTTAATACTGCAGTGGAAAATTCATTTGGAATAACATGACATTTTCGACATACCTCAATCAAGTCTTTTAAAAGTTGATTAGTAGTATCCGTTTTCCTGATAAGTTCAAGTAATAAACTTTCTTTCTCCGCTTCTTTTTCTTTATTCATCGAATTTCGTGTTTCCATCTCGAACACTGGTTGAGAACATATAAAATCCAATAAATAGTCTCAGTGGTCGGAATTAAATACTTAAAGTAAAAAAGAAAAACACGAAAAACTCCAGTAAAGCTTTAGGCCTTTCATTCTATCTTCAGAAGCTTTACAAAATAAACAACTGTAGTAACATAGTAACGTTACACAATAATTGGCGGAGTATATGACGTCGTTATTATGAAGTCAAATGTACTATGACGTCATAGTTAACAGCTCTTTGCGCACAGGTAAAAGTACGGGAAATTTTCAAGTTCTTAATAAAATGCAGATATACATATGCATACAAAATTAAATCTAATTGATATACATTACATCAGATTGTTAAGTTTTGGTTTTAACGTACAAATAAAATGTTTTTCTTTCTGACGTCTACTTATATCATTTCCTCCTGCTACTTTATAAAACGGAAATATCGTAAATTTCTTTTGTCCACACACGTCTAAATGTTCACTTAATGGTATTTGTCTATACTCCGGAGTGTTAATCTGTTGCTTGTGGGTACGAACCCGGGTACGGAGGGTGTTACTGGTCTCACCTATATAATACTCACTACATCCCGGACAGGTTATCACATATAAAACATTTTGTGTATCACACGACATATTGGCGTTCACTGTAAATTGTCTGCCGTTGAAGTTATAATAAGATCCTTCAGTAAGAAAATCACAGGTTCCGCACCGAGGATTTTCACATTTTTTCACTGAATAGGTTCCTTCACAATTAGAGTTACACAGGAGTCTTTTCAGGTTCTTGGGTTGGCGTCTACTTGAGATAAATTTTACGTCCTTATAAATTGTCTTTGTAGTTTCGTCCTCTCTAAGAATTGTGTTCAGTTGGTGAACAATGGGGTTGATGTTCTGGTTCCGGGGATTATGCGTGTGCACGAAGGGAATGATATTCTCGTTAACTTCACGTCCTTTGGCTAAAAGTAATTCTGATCTTTCATGTTCCTTTGCTTTAAGTATTCCATCATCTATAAGCTGGACTGGATATTTCTGTTTAAAAAGATACGTTTTAAGTTCATGTAAACGAATGTCCCTTGTATCCTTTTCACTGACAATGGCGCATATACGTCTGGCAAGGTTATAAGGAATGGCTGTTTTGGTATGATGCGGATGGCAGGAACCAAAATGTAAGTATTGGTGTGTATCCGTCACTTTGTAAAATATGTCAGTAACAATCCTTGTGTCCTTCTTAACAACGAGAACATCTAGGAATGGTAGTTCATTTTCACTGGTATCTATTGTAAATTTGATGTTGGCATTCAACTCATTTAATATTTTATGAAAAACGTCTAATTTTTCGACACTCTCATCCCATAAAATAAAACAGTCATCTAGAAATCTTTTCCATTTAGATTTAAGGTTATTGGCTATATCTTCTCCCCACAATGTTATGAGTCGTTGGTGAAGTTTGAATTCTAAGTAACCTAGGGTAAGTGTTGCGTACGTCGGTGCAACTTTGGTTCCCATGGCAGTTCCTTTAGTTTGTAAAAAATGGTTATCATTAAAGGCAAACGTATTATTTTGAAGGACTAATTTTAATCCTTGAACGACAAATTCTTGTGGAAAGCGATCATGAAGAAGGTAAGGATGTTTTTCTATCCAGAATTTTATCGCTTCTATTCCGAGTTCCGTTGGAATGTTAGTATACAAACTAACAACATCAAACGTAACTAATTTAGTATTATCCTTAACGACGTCTGGTAAATGATTCAGGAAGTCAAGATCATCTCTAATGAAACTTGGTACCTTTTCACAGAATGGTTTCAGCAATATATCTAATAAATGGCTCAATCTTTGGGTAGACGAGTTAGGGCCTCCAACAATAGGTCGGAAAGATAAATCCTGTGGGTTAAGGCAGGTAATATATTCAGAATTCTGAGATTCTATGGCATTCTTAATTTCCGTCGATTTATGAACTTTAGGTAAGCCGTAAAACTGACTTTCGCGGGCTTCAAAATTTATAAGATAGTCTCTTTCCTTGTCTGTTAATTCCTCAGAAAAAGGTTCATGGACAAGACTTTTTATTTTTGACATCGATTTCTTTTCATGCGTTTTGTTAATCTTTTGGTAAAATTCGGTGTCTTGTAACATGGTCAGAATTTTATTTTCGTAAAAGTCTTTGTCCATGATGACAACTCCTCCTCCTTTGTCTGCCTCTTTAATGACTATATTTTTGTCGCTACACAAGTCTTTTAGGGCAATTTGTTCATCCTTAGAAAGATTTGATTAATAATTAGGTATGTTGGTGTCTGGAAGGTTGATGTTTTCAAGCGTCTCGCAAACAGTATCTAAAGTACGATTTCTTCCTCGTTTTGGAATAAAATCTGACTTGTTTCTTACAAGATCCTGGGGCTGTGTATGTTCAGTTTCTTCATTAAAATCATTCTCGTCCTCATCCTCGTGGAAAAACTCCCTTAGTCTTAAACGGGAACTAAAAACAGATATTAAATCATATACACGCCGTTTAAGACTAAGGGAGTTTTTCCAGTTTTTGTGTAGCGACAAAAATATAGTCATTAAAGAGGCAGACAAAGGAGGAGGAGTTGTCATCATGGACAAAGACTTTTACGAAAAATAAAATTCTGACCATGTTACAAGACACCGAATTTTACCAAAAGATTAACAAAACGCATGAAAAGAAATCGATGTCAAAAATAAAAAGTCTTGTCCATGAACCTTTTTCTGAGGAATTAACAGACAAGGAAAGAGACTATCTTATAAATTTTGAAGCCCGCGAAAGTCAGTTTTACGGCTTACCTAAAGTTCATAAATCGACGGAAATTAAGAATGCCATAGAATCTCAGAATTCTGAATATATTACCTGCCTTAACCCACAGGATTTATCTTTCCGACCTATTGTTGGAGGCCCTAACTCGTCTACCCAAAGATTGAGCCATTTATTAGATATATTGCTGAAACCATTCTGTGAAAAGGTACCAAGTTTCATTAGAGATGATCTTGACTTCCTGAATCATTTACCAGACGTCGTTAAGGATAATACTAAATTAGTTACGTTTGATGTTGTTAGTTTGTATACTAACATTCCAACGGAACTCGGAATAGAAGCGATAAAATTCTGGATAGAAAAAACATCCTTACCTTCTTCATGATCGCTTTCCACAAGAATTTGTCGTTCAAGGATTAAAATTAGTCCTTCAAAATAATACGTTTGCCTTTAATGATAACCATTTTTTACAAACTAAAGGAACTGCCATGGGAACCAAAGTTGCACCGACGTACGCAACACTTACCCTAGGTTACTTAGAATTCAAACTTCACCAACGACTCATAACATTGTGGGGAGAAGATATAGCCAATAACCTTAAATCTAAATGGAAAAGATTTCTAGATGACTGTTTTATTTTATGGGATGAGAGTGTCGAAAAATTAGACGTTTTTCATAAAATATTAAATGAGTTGAATGCCAACATCAAATTTACAATAGATACCAGTGAAAATGAACTACCATTCCTAGATGTTCTCGTTGTTAAGAAGGACACAAGGATTGTTACTGACA